ACGCGCGCGTCGTCGCGCGCGCATGCCGACATTGCTCAATAACCACAAGTTTCGAAACGATTTGGAAACCGAGTGCCGCGAACACATACAGACAAACCAATGGTTTCGCAACAGGAAGTCCCCCCCCCCCAACATATATATATATATATATATATATGTATATAAACTAGAACCACGCGCGCGCTTCGCGCGCGCTTAGGTTCTAGCGCAGACGCTTCCAATTGTAACCTCTGGTTGGGACGACGAGTGCGACGGCCTCCACAAGGACGACGAGGACGACAACGGCGACGATGACGACGTCGAAAGACCACGTCTTGCCTTTACTGTTCATCTTGCGCCTTAGGCTGGCGATATGCCTTAGCACCGATACCGATACAAATCCTCGTTAACTCTTCTGCTTCCGTTTTTTCCACCTTTTTTACGTTGCGTGCACTCCTCCTCCCTTTTGTCGTCCTGATCCCTCCCTTCTCTTATTTCTTCTCCTGGTCTTCCTTTTTCTTCTCCTCCTCTCTCCCTACTTCGCTTCATTGTTCTCTGTCTTGTCTTCTTCTTCCTTTCCCTCCTCCTCCTGCTCTTTGTTCTGAACCACTATTTTTCTTATCCTCGCCTTCATCGTCCTTCTCCTGTTCCTTCTCCTCGTTCTCTGAGCTTCGTCCTCGTACGGCGTGTTCCGGAAGAGGCTGCTGGAACGCGCTAGGCGCAATGGGTGGTTTCGTCATTCAATGCGCCGTTGAGTCCAACGATGAGTTCTTGCCCTCCTTCCCGTCGTTTCTTCTCCTTGCACTGATCCTCCTTGTCCGCCTCCACTTCCTCTTGCCGCTTGCTTTCCTTATCTTCCTCTTCTTCCGCCTCCTCCTCGTTTTCCTTTTCACCTGTTTTGCCTCGCCCCGATCTTCCTCCTCCTCAAGCGTGTTTCGGGAGAGTCCTGCTGGAATGCGCTGTGCACAATTGCTGGTTGCACTTTTCAGTGTTTGCTTGCGGCTGACGATGGGCGTTGTCGATCGGTACTGGTAACGAGACTTCTTTCCTGGGTCGTTTGGCGACCCTTTTTTGGCTGTCTTGGCCAAAAAACAACCCTTGTCTCACCGCTCCTTCCTCTACAATGACATGATCCGCTGCACACGCGTGCCGAAGCCACCCACCTCTGGCGCTCCAGAAGTTCCCTACGCCTCCCGAAGGACAGGCGATTCCTTCAATAGGGGCGCGGCCACAAGAAACATCCGCAAGGAGCCCAGCCGTGGCACCCGAGGGCGCCCATGGCTTTCAGGCACGCGGGCGCAATGTTTTCCATGGTGGCTCGATCGGAGTCCAAGAAACCAGGGAGTGAAGCTGATGATTTCTTGGAAGGGGCTCCCCACTGTAGTCCCCGGCGCCCCCTCCCCCTCCTCCTCCGCTCATTCCTCCTCCTCATCATCCATCTGGTGCTTCTCCTCCATCCCCCTCCTGAAGGGTAGGAGGAGGATGGAGGAGGAAGGGGAAAAGGAGGAGGAGGAAGAGGCCCCCAACGAGATCCCCCCCCCCCGGCATTTTATGAGAAAGACTGCATCGCGTCTACCCCTTATTCGCCTCCCCGTCTCCCCCTCCTAACCAGGCTTCCCATCCTCCGCGTTGTTCTCTCCATCCTCCTGCTCCTCCTCCTTCTCCTCCTCCTCCTCCGCCGGCCCCTCCTTCTCCGCGTCCTCCTCGCCCCCCCCTCGCCGCGAAACCGATCGCGTTCCGGAAGAGCCTTGCCCTAACACGGTCAGTAGGAGGCGCGAGTCTGCTGGACTCCTGGATCGGCGCCTCACCCTCCCGCTGCGGCCTCCGAGACCGAGTTCGCGAAATCCCATGCAATCGCGGAGCCGTTTTGGCACCCTTGCGGGCCCGCCTGAAACCTGGTGGCCCTGGAGCTCTGTCGGCGGTGTCTGCAGCCGGACGCGCTGGATGCTGCCCTCCTCATCTTCCCCCTCCTCCTCCTCCTCAGCTGCGTCGCGCTCCTCCTCCACGTCGTCCTCTTCGCGCCCCCCTCGCCCCGATGCCGATCGCGTTCCGGAGGAGTCTTGGCGGAACGCGGTCGGTAAGGGCGCCATCCAAAGCACCGCGTTCCCAGAGGGGGGCAGGGGGAGGAGGAGGTGGAGGAGGGGGAGGAGGAGGAGGGGGAGGGGGAGGAGGAGGAGGAGGAGGATAATGCTGCTGATGATGATGATGATGATGATGATTTTGATGATGTTGATGATGATGATGCTGATGCTGATGCTGATGATGATGGCGTCGATGATGATGATGATGATGATGTTAAGAGGGCGAGAGGAGCAGGAGAAGGGAAGTGAGGAACAGGCGGAGCAGGAGGAAGAGGAGGGGAAGGAGGAGGAGGACCAGGAGGAGGAGGAGGAGGAGCAGGAGGAGGAGAAGGAGGAGGAGGAGGTTGAGGAGGAGTAGGAGGAGGGAGGTGAGGAGCAGGAGGAGAAGAAGGAGGAGGAGGAGGAGGAGAAGCTGCAGCAGCTGTCCTGGAACCGTCTCGGGGGAAATGGGGCCTGAGCTTCGTCGGGGACCTCCTCCTGCTGCTCCTCCTCCTGGTCCTCCTCCTCCTCCTCCTCGCTCTCCTCTTCCTCCTGCTCCGCCTGTTCCTCACTTCCCTCCTCCTGCTCCTCCTCACCCTCTTAACATCATCCTCATCATCATCGTCATCATCATCAACACCATCATCATCATAATCATCATCATCACCATCAGCATCATCATCATCGACATCATCATCATCGTCGTCATCATCATAATCATCATCAACATCATCATCAGCATTATCATCATCAGCATCATCATCATCCTCCTCCTCCCCGTTTCCCTCCTCGTCGCCCTCCTCCTCCTCCACCTCCTCCTCCCCCTGCCCCCCTCCGGGAACGCGGCGCTTTGGACGGCGCCCTTGCCGACCGCGTTCCGGCAAGACTCCTCCGGAACGCGATCGGCATCGGGGCGAGGGGGGCGCGAGGACGACGACGAGGAGGAGGGGCACGACGCAGGTGAGGAGGAGAAGGAGGGGGAAGAGGAGGAGGGCAGCATCCAGCAGAGGCCCAGGGCTGTTCTGCAGATGGTTCCGCAGGCTGCGCCCTGGAGGACTCCGGACGCGGAAACCCTGTGACAACACATGGGAAATGATGCAAAATCGCTGCTCAAGTGAGGGCTTCGGCTCCGTCGGGCACCCCTGCTGGAGCCGTTTTGGGACCCTCTTGGGGCCCTGTGA